GAAAAGCATGTTTGTTGCTGGTTTATCACCAAACAACCCCAAAAAAAAAAAACGGGAGACAACAAAATTTTGAGGGAAGGATCATCCTGAAGAGACTAATCAAACGGTAGTCAGGCAGAAAGCAAACAAACGCTGTGAACCCTTGAAGTGGACCCTCAAAACCCCACCTTCAGCACCCCAGGCTTATGGTTTCGGATTTGGGGGCTTAGGGCTTCACTTGTCAAACAAAAGAATAATATCTGATGTAAAAAGGTGATCTAAGAAGATTCCGGTAACAATTTGTACGAAGACTAGTGGGCCTTATAAACACAATATTCCTAAAACAACTGATGATCAAAGGACAACGATATGACTGCAAATGATGCTTCATGTGGAGTTCAAAATGTAAAATATGAACATTCATGGGCTAGTTCATATGAATAAAGTAGTGAGCCCGTGTACGTTTTCCTTGTGTTTGTTTCCTATTGTCACTGGCATTTCCCTCGCTTTGCTACCAAATTACCAGAAGCAAAAAAAAGCTATCTCCTTGGAATCTTTTTCACGGCATTCGCAAGCTCGTCAAAATAGCAAATTCGCCTCGGCTTCCTATCTAGCCCAACCCTTTCCCCCACACCCTGTGGGACCCCCCCCCCCCCCCATCGCTTGGAGGAGCTGCAAAGCAGCTGCCCTGCAAATCACTCCTATCAAGGAAAAGCTTGAATTTGGGTACCGTGCTGTGACCCCCCTGGGACCCCCTGACACTCCCCTGCTGGGACCCCTGGGACCCTTTCTGGGAACCCCGGAGCCTTGACACCCTTCCTGGCAGAAAACCCTCGTTCCTCCTTTCCTGTCCGTGGGCCGGCCCGGCTGCCGAGGCGGCGCGCGCAAGCGTTTACAATAAGCGATCGCATGAAATGAGCCTGAAGATGCTTGACTGAGCTTGAACAGAGTGAACACGACAGCAAACGCACACCAGCTGCTACGTCTTCTCCTTTGTTCCTAAGCTTCTCTGCGACAATAGCCGGTTTGTTCACAAGGGCTGGTTCCCGTGTCTTGTCTTCCGTCTTCATCTCGACGTCGAGGACCAAGAGGCGCTAAGGCACATGGACGAATTTGTAGACATTGTACACCCTCGTACCCTCAAACGTAGCAACAAAGACGTGGGCTGCAGCGCCGTGGCCATCCTCGACTGTCGTATTTCTGGGACCCTCTCAGGTTCGTCCTGGAGGGTTTGCAAACGCGTCGCGGTTTTGAAGCCCAAAACCTCGGCAGGTCTCAATAAACCGACATTTTGGGATTTTGGGGAGTTTGGGAAGAAGGCCCCGCAGATTCCCGGCCGTCTTGTCCTCTCCCTTCCTCGCTCTCTCGCTCGCGCCATCGCTTTTAGCTCCACAACTGTCTACTTCGGTTCGTCCTTCCTTTTCCAATCAATTAACTTGCTTGTGAAGTTGGCTTTTGCTGCTGATCCAAAAACAAAGCTGCATTCATCCAAATGCGAATTTCATTTGGCAAAGCACGTCATGATGCTGCAAGGACTTCCCGGAACTCCTCGTTCTTCCCCTGGCTTTGCGCCCAAAGCAGAAGTCGCAAGCTGTCCATGGCAGAAGAGCTCGCTCCGTCCCACGAAAACCTGCACAAGCAAACAACCTCCACAACCTCCACAAAGCACCAAAGACCACCACAGAGCGTCCAATCTCAAAGGTCCACATTTATGCAACCATGGCGCTTGATTCCATACTTGGGGCCAATCCTCCGGGGGAAAAAGGCTGAACCGCACAACACGTACTGAGGTCTCAACGAAGCCTTCGCTATGCTATCCATGGTGATCAGAGGACGAAGCCCGTCGATCCATTGCAAGATTCTACGTGTACTTCCATCTACTTTCGTGACATGTGCTCACCATGTACTTCAGTCCTGTTCAGCATGTCCTCGCCATGCTTGCGGGCCGTTTCATCTCCTGCGGAGCAGTGCAGTTCTGCGCTTAACGGCGTTCGCGGAAACCTCAGAGCGTCAGCAGCCGGATTTTGGGAGAAAAGTGTGATAGTGCAAGAACGCGCGAGCAGCAGAGATGTGGAGAGGGCTTGGGCGCTTCGCGGCGCTTGTCAGCCACAACTAAACTACCTCTATAACCAGAGCATGGAAGTCAAACGGGCATGCATGTGGATTCAAACAACACATGGGTGCTCGAATGAATGACCAAGTGACTGACTACACACGACTCGTATCTGAATGAAACGAAGAACTACCGAAATCCACAGGCCCTCAGCACTTGCCACAAACATCTACAAAGCTTCTCTTGCATTCTAGGTTGCTAGAGCTGGTGTGTCAGGTGATTCGTTCAGAATGCTGGGCTTGCATCTGACCGAACTGTGCGAGCACGTACAAGTAGAGGCTCCGTGCCAGAGTCGTCTGCCTTTCCGCGCACGCCTCAAACAAGCTAGACAAGTGCCAGTGCCACCTGTGGAGACCTCCAGCTACTCTGCAACGCCAAGCTGCAGAAGGTGCGTTGGCGCACCCTGCTCCAAGGGCAGTGGGCGTCGGTAGATTTTGTACACCTCAATATCAAATGCATTGAGGAGGGAGACGGCCTGGGTGCAGGTCGCAGATTCGCAGGATATCTAATTTTGGAGGTCTCTGACGATCAGGGGGCTCCTTTTAAGGGGGAAAGAGCTTCGAAGTTGCTGCCGGGCAAGTGGCGAGACGAGAGCCACCAACTTCCCGCTCGTGAATTGCAGCATACAGTATTTGCTTTGCCAGGTACCCATGTGGTCAGCTTGTACCTCGAGCGACAAACTCTTCACAAAAGAAAACTAGGCCTGCAGTCCATACACAGAGCCCAGGGCAACTGACAAAGTCGATGTTGACAAGCCTGAGTTGGAAGGTTCAAACTGAGAGCTCGTTGGCCTGCACTGGCGTTCTCGGAGAGTAGGCCACGGGGCATCTTTCCGGCAGGAACAAGAGCTGTTGTCGCCAGCACCGAACCTGGGCTACCAGTCTGGGCAAAAAAGAGCGAAGCGAGAAGGATGGCGGTTGAGATGGTGACGGTGTCGGGAGCACGGGCCGAGTGGAGAACAGTCAAGGACCCGTACAAGAGGTCAGAAACGGGCCCTCCTGACTCTAGGTTCGTTATGCTCCTCGCTCTTGTTCCTGGCACATATGTGGAAGACACGACCCAGTTGCAACAAACTCGGTGAACATTCCAAAAAGATGACGGTTGGCAAGATTTCTCTGCTCTCGGTCTGACAACGCCGCCGCGGTGCAGGGAATCGGCACGCCTCGACGCCCTGAAACACCTGAGACAGGAACGCGGAGCTCAAGGAGGTCTGCAGCAAGAAATAGCTTGCATCAGCAGACGCAAGGCAAGCTGACTCCGGTTGATTCTGTTTGCTTGTTTGCTTGTTTGCTCGCCGACGTAACTGCGCGACTGCGCCACTGGGTGCCTGCCAAGCAGGGCCAAGCACCCTTTCAGCAGAATTCAGCAGAATAGTCAGCTAGAGCTTTCCAAGGTCGAGGGCGCGTGTTGTATGTCGATGCTGCATGACTTTAAAACATGCCAAAAAAAACAACAAGCTGAGGAACGTGGCCGTTCAAGCGGCACGGCGGAAATGGTTGCGAGAGTTGTGGATTCACCAAGGTGTCACTCCTAGGGTTTGTGAAACGTTCTGCGCGTTCGGCTTGGACCTGGTGCATCCTGGTTCAACTGCACTCAGGGCAGGAAGCAATCAAACAGGCCACCCGCCGCTGCTTCCAATAATGTTGGACCCCCCCCCTCACCCTCTGAAAAGGCGAAGCTTTTAAACGGTCCACGGGTTTTATATAGTTTTAAAAGGAAGGGTTTATTGAGTTTAAAAGGGACAGCGAGGCCCGGCAATTGATTGCAAAGGCGCGCCACGCGAAATTTTCTTACGACACACGGACGATTTGACTTAGTTGCGGACCCACTCTGGACCCCTAAACAGTCACGGGGTCAAACTTGACTTTATGGAGGGGCCCCTCTGAAGGCACGTCCAAAAGTGCGCAAGCTGTAAGTTCGACTTCTACGATGTGTCAACCCCCCCCCCCCCCCGGCTTTTGCAGTGACATTGTCACATCCCTTGCAGCCCGCCCAGTCTCTTTGCATTGTGGGGAAAGAACGAGAAGTTGAAGCAAGCGCATCACAGCGAAAACCTGGCCTTCAGACGCCCACCCAAGCTGCTGTGGAGATTTTACACCATACCTTGGGGCTCTGCTGCAGAACAAACTCGTCTTTGACACTACTAAAATCTGCAACTTGATTGCGCTGGCCACGGCAGACTCCTTGCCTCAAAGGCTCATGACATCCCAGGCGTCCTACGCCGAAAGATGCACAGTACGCATGCAACAGATATTTCAGACTTTGACAGCGTGCTCAACTCCTCTGCAGTGCAGCTTCCTCGGTGCATTCCGCTGTGAGGGGCAAGGGAAGCAGGGGAAGCGTCAGAAAGTTCGAATAGCTTGCCTCCGGCGCTTAAGGCGCAGAGTGCTTTGGATGCATGTTCTGTCAACTGCCAGCGCCCTCAAAGGCAGGCATAGCTGAGTCTCATATGGACGCATCCATGGCGTTACAAGAGCGAAACCCGCAGTGCAGTGGAGCCAAGAGTCCTTGGCCCGGGCAGCAGGCTCCTCACGGTGCTCATGTCTTTCTCCAAACTTGGGGGGTGGGACGCTGGGAAAGCCAAGTTCTGGGAGGCAGGCGCGCAATTCGGATTGGGGGGGTGTGCAGGCTAGCACCAGCTGCCAACATGCTCAGATATGACCTGAATCCACTAAAAAGGCCGGTTCCGCCAGGCCTGTTGAGATATGAAGCACTCAAGCTGCGCGGTCTTACAGCTCTGCATTTCTTCGGAAAAGGCATGTGTTTGGGCGTTCTTTTGCAAATCATTGGAAGCCCTCCATGCAGGCTCAAACTAGCAGCCAATTGAGGACACCTTCGCAATGTCTGCACGCGCCTGAAATGCTTCCAGAATGATGTTGTGTCCACGGAGTCAGCGCATGTGACATCCTCACTGAGAGGTGCCGAACAAAGCCAAGTATAGAACACCAGCAACCCACGCGAACGCACAAACAATGAAGACAAGTTTCGGGTACTCAAGGCCTGTCCTCTCTTGTCCAGGCGCCCTTGTCGCTGCTTTCGCTGCTTCTCTTTGACGTGCATCATCCCGCTCATCCCGCGTGCCTGCGACTTCGCCACAATCCACGGACCTCCGGCGTGCCAGCAGATCTTTCCCACGGAGACAGAGGCTGACCCAACCGGTGTTGGGCCCCTCCCCTCGAACCAATTCATAGCGCACACGCCCTTGCGTGCGTTCAATCTGTCGGATGACGGCACCGGTAGCCAAGCGCTGGCCGTCCTGGCGTGTGGCGAGGGACGCGCCGCTTCGGACCAGGATTCCATCACTGGTGGCTCCACCCACAACCTCCCAGAGCACCTCTTTCGCCATCGGCGGTGTGGAAAGACTCTACATTCCACAATAGTAAGATATAGCTTGGGTCTGACCTTCTTGCCCCTGAGGTGCCTCCCTGATCGACTCGGACCGACATTTCACTCTCAAGGAGAACAGCTAGCCAATTCGCTGCGGAACTTGGGACGGTTTGGGACGCAACCAAGGCATGCAGCAGTTAGCGATGGTGGAGCTTTATACCTCTGCCATTTTTGGAGGCGTGCACCTTGAATCTCTTTCAAAATGGTTCGAGCTTTGCCTCTGAGGCTCGGGCACGGGTATCGGCTACACTGTCTACACATTCCTGTGCGACATGGCTGGAGGTTCTGGTGGAGAATGACTGTGTGAAAGCGCTGGCTAGCCGGCCTGCTAGCTCCGCCGCCTGTGTTTAACAAGGCCTCAGAGGCTGGGCAAAGATAAGATCACAATCTCTGCAACCTCTCCTCTCACAACTTGCCTTTGTTGACAACATTCAAGACGACTTGAAGGTGCGAAGCGGTGAGTCATCTAGAGTCACTTTGACCCGAGCTATGCTCCGAGTCGGCCCCTGAGCCGCTGACGTGGGCGGAGCAGCTAATTGCGGCGCTCAGCGCTCGGCTCCCTCGCGAGGCCGCGCTGCCTTTAGAACACAAGGTAAGACCTTTGCACTCGGCTTTTTCAATCTCAGGCTCCGTTCAAGATCTTGAGACAAGCACCTTAAGGCCACAACGGCCAGATCGTGCGATTTGGGGACCCACAACAACATCACACGATCCCCTTTACGTGGGCCTCGCCGGGACAGCGAGCGAACACTGCTTCGATCGTCCTGAAGCGAATGCAGAGGCTTAAAGTGGCACACAATAGAGTTACAACACACGGGCCACGATTATGATTGGCGAATAAAGTATGCGACCTTAAACATACCTGACGTGTATAGAAAAGGCGCTCTTCAAAATGCAAACTGTGGAATTGGCAAAGCTCCTAGCTGACAAAAGCCGCCTGGAGCCGCATGGACGTCAGCGCTGGCGCAGAAGAGCAAGGTACGAGCCTCGAGCGGTTTAGGGCATCGGGTTTGGGGTTCGCCCTCTATGTTCAGGCAACAACTCCTCCACACGACTGATGGAGATCAGTGGTTTGCACTGGGGTGCACGGCTTACCAGGGCTGGTGCATTCGTCTGACTAATTTCTCATGCATGTTCATCCGAAAATCTGGACGTGACATCGCCCGAGTGGCCGATGAGGCTGAATCTTCATCCGTCGGCGGTCCCTCGCAGATACCAGATCATGATGCGAGTATCTTCTGACATGCGGCTTCCGTAGAGACAAGCACCACAGAGCATTCAGCTTGTCGCGCCTACTGCCATGAAACTATGAAAGCTCTGCGGGCATTGACGGTGTGAAGCATTCAGGTACAGGCCCAGCAGCGTCGCCGAAAACACTCACCTTACACGATTTCATTGCACTTCTGAAAGCTTCCGGTGAGGCGGAAGGCCCCTGATCCTGGCCCCATTGAGGACGAGCAGTTAGTTGCAACTTGCTTTTGGCTACCTGACTTGTCCCGCTTTGACTCAAATGCTTACTTGCAAGTTCTTGTTCTTTTCGAAACATCTGAAGTCCCGAGTAAGTCTGCGACAATCTTACCTGGTTGTGACTCTTTGGGGCATGTGGACGTTACTTGACCTATACACCTATACATAAGCAGCACTTTTTCCCACTTCTCACCTGGGACACCTTCGAACTTAGGGCTTTGAAGGCCCTTTTCTGGCTTCAGAGGCGTGCGGCCGACATCTGCTTTTGAGGGGCCCTGCAAACAGTAAGGGTTACGGCTAGCCACCCATTGGGATCCGGGTCCTCAACCCCTCTTCACAAAAGCAGGACAAGACACAAACCCTCCTCTTAACAAAAGCAAAACACAAACCACAAACTCAAACAGGACAAACTCGGCTTCGAGCAGTGACGCGACCAAACTCGTCCGGTGTGTCGTTCATTATCTGAGCAGCTTCTGTGATTGGACGCGAGAATTCAGAAGAGGTGCAACCCCCCCCCCCCCCAAGATTTCATCTCGCGCATCAGTGCTGGGCCAAGTCCAAGCAACACGTCTTTTGAGTTGATCACCGAACTAAGGGGCAACACCCAGCGGCCTCCCCTCGCGCGCCATTGAGCTCTGGTCGCCTTCGAATTCCAGAGATTGTGACCTGCAACATTGGTAAAACCCTCACAACATCCCTCAAACCCTGAGATTATGCACCATCATCAGCCCGGACGGGCTCTTGGTGGATTACCTGTTCATCAGTTCACCCACTGTTTTTAAACATTATGATTAGCTCGCGCATGAGTACTATTAACACGAGCGAACTAGGGAGGAAGGAAAAGGACAAAGATGTGGTGCACGTGACAAAAGACTAAACACAAACGGGCACGCAATATGATTACTGGCGGGCGTATGAGAAGATTCATGTTCACGCATGAAAAGCCCTTGTAAAACATAGTATATCATATAGGGGCAGAGAACGAACAGTACTGTATTACACTCACCGTGTTCACACGTGCGCTTACAATGTTATTACAGGCGCGAATAGACTGAGCGAACGAAGGCCACAAATGAAGTGCATTTTACGGGGCAAGTATGATTTATGAAAGGGCCGTTCATAACACCATCAATAATGCAAGGGCCCAAGAGAGCACTACATTCCCTCGTTCATTCATTCATCTCCTCGTTCCCAATCCGTCTCTTCTGAGACGGTCGCCTTTTCAATTCAGTATTTAGGGGTTCTTTGTTTGACCCAGACTCGCGGGCACACATTGTCATATTCTTGCTCGTGGTAAAAAAGTACATTACAAGACTTAGGAGTTGTTGGGCTTGTGAGCGTCCGAGGGGTGTTCTGGGGCGTGGGAGGGCACTCAAGCGCCACGGAGAAACTGCGTAGCATGCATGCTCGGGGCCCAGGACCAGAGGAAATTCGTCATGAGCTGCATGTGAGAAAAGCACACCCAACAGCTACCAAAAACCAGCTCTGCTTTAGCCACCTTTCCCTACTCTTTCTTGGCTTTTGTTTCGGTAGTTTTTATCTCTTTATATGTTTACCTATTTCGGTCTACATTTACTTCTCTGTAAATATGTGCTTCTTCATGCATTTCTTTCGTGCAATGTCTTGGATGTCTGTAGAGGTTTACCAATTTCCATTCCTGTTTCCTCATTTCGTTCTTTTGTTAATCATGTCTGTCTTTGTCTGCGAATTCCCTTCTGAATGTATGTATTCATTCTTGTGTATTTCGTTCGTTCTTGATGTCTTGTTGTCTTTCATTCGTTCTTGCGTTCCCTTTTCTTAGTTCTAGCTCCTCCATTCATTTCGTTATTATCTGTTGGTTTGACTGTGTGTCGATTCTTTTCTGACCTTTTCGTTTGTGTTTCTTTGTTCGACGTTTCTTTCTCACTCTCGTTCTTGGGGCAAGGGGGGCCAAACCCCCTGGCAAGTGTGCACAAATTCTCCCACCCCTGCTTCAGCAAAAGCAGAGATGGCCAGCTCCCCAGGCTGAGAACGGGGCGACATCACCGGGAACCGGAACTCGATAGAAAGGCCCGCCTTCCTGCTGTTTAGACACAGTGGCGTGCTCTGCACATGCACACGTGGGCAACCACTGGCAATCAGTTGGGGGCTTCTCCTCCGGTGGGCTGAGAGGCATTTGTAACGTCCTTGGCAGATGGCGGAAACTCGTGCAGTGAGATGTTCCTCTCTCTTCAGCCAAAGGACTTCAAAAGCTTCTCTGGAGACTGCCACGATAGAAACTCCTGACAAGCTGGGTGGCAAGGCTTCTCAGAAAGTCAGAATGCACAGCCAATGTTCTCACGGATTTGGTTTTGAGGCTGACATCTTGAACCATCTCCTTCTCACATAGAGATCTCCAGATCTGATCATTCTTTGATGGATCGGTGGCCTTAAGTTGGCAGACATGGGTACAAGAAGTTGTCACCGTTCAGTTGTCTGCAGGAGATTTTGGGTTGTCAATTCATTTCGAGGCCCTAACCATGTCTCTTTGTGGACGCCTACAATCCCTACCTACACGCTTGAGCTTGAGACGCACAAAGGGCATGAACAGCCTGGGCGCAGAGGGTACCAAGTCGGCCAGTATACTGTCAGGTTGGGTCTGCCAACCACTGTGAACAGCCTGTTGCTCTGCTTCGGGCTCTTAATCGCATAAACTCTTCTCACAGCTGAAACTATGATTCACCCCTGGTCGAAGCGATACATCTCGCCATTCTGCCCGAGCTCCGGCTATGGAAGGACACCTTTCAATAGCAGCAAAATAGTAGCACCTGAAATCCGCCGACCCCTAGGGGGGCGGCGTCAGTGAAGACCCATTGCCCCTACCACCTACTCCATCCGGGCCCCAGTGCATGCCCGCCCGCTTGCCCTACCCCCACCACCCACCCACCCCGCTCCCCGCCGCTTGCCCTACCTTCACCACCCACGCACCCCGCACTCCATCCCATCGACCCCCATGGTCCATGGACATGGCCCAGTGCATGCTCGCCCCCTCCGCTCCGCCCGCTACGCCTACTCCCCCCTGGCCGCCTACCCCTCGACCCCCATGACCCCCATGGACATGGCTTCTCAGCTGACTTTAAAGGGCCCCACTGCATGCCCGCTCCTTCCCCGCCCGCCCCCCTCCGCTTGCTGCCACCCCCACCCCTCACGCACCCGCCCATGCCCCTCATGGACCCATGGCTCCTGGCCCCATTGGCTCATGGTTTCACTCTCCATCCCCTCGACCTCCATGCTCCATGGACATGGCTTCTCAGCTGACTATAAAGGGCGCCAGTGCATGCCGCCCCCTCCGCTTGCTGGCCCCAGTGCATGCCCGCCCGCTTGCCCTACCCCCACCACCCACGCACCTCGCTCCCCGCCCATGCCTTTCATGGACCCATGGCTCCGTACCACCTACTCCGCCCCATCCAAAGCTCTACAGGGCCCCAGTGCATGCCCGCCCACTTGCCCTGCCCCCACCACCCACGCACCCCGCCCCCTGCCCATGCCCTTCATGGACCCATGGCTCCTGGCCCCATTGGCTGGACGTGGCTTCTCAGCTGACTTTAAAGGGCTCCAAGTGCATGCCCACCCCCTCCGCTTGCTCCGCCCGCTCCGCCCTTCCCGCTCCGCCTACTCTCCCCGTAACCCTACCCCTCGACCCCCATGGCCCCCACCATGCCTCCTGGCCCCATTGGCCCATGGTCCCACTCGACCCCCATGGCTGCCATGGACATGCCTCATATGGCTCCTGCCCCCCTTCATGGACATGGCTTCTCAGCTGACTTTAAAGGGCCCCAGTCCATGCCCGCCCCCTCCGCTTGCTCCGCCCGCTCCGCCCTTCCGCCCATGGCCCGCACCGCCCCCTCCGCTTGCTCCGCCCGCTCCGCCCTTCCCGCTCCGCCTACTCCCCCCCTAACCCTACCCCTCGACGCCCATGGCCCCCACCATGCCTCCTGGCCCCATTGGCCATGGTCCCACTCGACCCCCATGGCTGCCGTGGACATGCCTCATATGGCTCCTGCCCACCCCCCATGGACATGGCTTCTCAGCTGACTTTAAAGGGCCCCAGTTTTTAACGGGCCCCAGTCCATGCCCGCCCCCTCCGCTTGCTCCGCCCGCTTCGCCCTCCGCCCTTCCGCCCTTCCGCCCATGGCCCCCACCATGGCTCCGGGCCCCATTGGCCCATGGTCCCACTCTCCATCCCCTCGACCCATACCCACCCCCTCCGCTTGCTCCGCCTCCTGGCCCCATTGGCCCATGGTCCCACTCGACCCCCATGGCTGCCATGGACATGCCTCATATGGCTCCTGCCCACCCCCCATGATGGCTTGCTCCGCCCACTCCCCACTCCACCCTTGCCGCTCCGCCCAGTCCCTCCCCTGGCCCCATCCCTCCATCCCCTCGACTGTCATGGCCTCCCTGGACATGGCTTCTCGGCTGACTTTAAAGCCATTCTGGCCTTATCCCTCGACCACCCCCAACCCTCACCCCACCCCCCACGCAGACCCATGGCTCCTGGCCAGGTGGACTAGCCTTCGCAGCCAGCTGCGGCTTTGGGGTCGGCGGCACTGGCGGTAGCCATTAAATCGGGCAGCGCGAGGTCCCCAAAGGACCGAGCAAATGCGGACCTTTTAGCCCGGGTCGTCCCGGGAATAGCCTTGCTGGCCTCTGGCCTTCTGCGAAGCAGAATTAGGCCGGACGCCAGTGCCGCCGACCCCCGCGTGCCGCCGGTGAACGGTTTTTTTTTTTCGTGGTTTTTTGCGTCGCCACGGAGGCCCCCAGAGGGCGCGCATCATGAGCATCAGCGGGTCCAGCCCGGGACCCCCAGGCGCGCATCAGGAGCATCAGCGGCTCCCGGGGCGGGACCCCGGGGGCGCATCAGGAGCATGATGCCCCCCAGAGGGCGGGCATAAGCGATATGTCTAAGCCCGGGGTTAGGAAAAGGGGAGTTTTTAGAGCTTAGGGGCCTCAAAATGCTTAGAAACTGCTCGCCCCGCGCTTCTGCCTGCGCTGCCCGCCCATGGGCGCAGCCCCTTAAAATAATCTGATTGAAGCTGTGAGCCGTCTTCGAGTGCCCTGCTAGTGGCAGCACCCTTGCAAACTTTCTTCTCTGGGCTAAGTCGCTGTACAACGGGTGGATCTAATGCGGCTGTACACATTCAGCACTCCACCTCCTGACCACAACCTCTCCGCCGTCATTCAAGCGGAACGTGCTTCTCGCTTACTCGCTTAGACTGCTGCGGCTGCATCGTTGGCAGAATCGGCCTGTCCTAATTACAGGCTACTAGCCGGGGCAGACTGCCTAGTCACTTCTGCTTCGGTACCCAACCTGAGTTGCAACCGAAAGCGTCGACTGAGTTTCCGCAGGCTGCTCTAGCAAGCCGTGTTAGGCCCAGAGGCACACCGTGTCCTAAGCACGTGCCACTCAGAGCCTGGTTCCAGCAGAAACCGAAGAGCCATACAATACATACAATAGATACAATACATGTTGAGCCACGACGTGCTGGCATTCTCGACCGAACCCGCGGAAGAGCCAACTCTGGCTGCAGCCATGGTTCGAAGTCTCGTTCCATTCTTCTGGACATTGCCTTTGCAGCCTGGACTGTAGCTACAGCGAGGGCAAATGGAAATGGAGATCTCTTCTTGAGCACGAGAGCATCCGCTCTTCCGGGCCGAGTGGCTTCTGCTTCGATGAGGCGCATCCTGTCCTGCACAAGACGAACGGCAAACGGGAACCACTGAGCATGCTACAGCTTACTTACAGCTTGACATTCTTTTAGGCTCAGTGGAATAATCTGCGGTCTTAGGCAGTGCGCCTGGGATGCACGGAGCTCCTGTCGGCGAGGCGCCTTTCAAGATCTCCTGGCTTACCTCTGCACGAAGGACGCACAGGAGACAAGAGATGCTTCGCTTTGAGCTGCTTTGCAGCCTTGATCGGCCTTGATCGGCCTTTTTTGTCATGGTATACCCTTGGTGAGCTTGGGGCACCTTCTTGAGCTGCTCGTACTGGGACAGCGGTTCGTCGTATGATGCGAAGCATGGATCAAAGAGCGGGCAGACCTCCTGGCAAAAAAGACACTGCAGTCACGTGGCGAAGACCTCTTGCACATGCAGCTGAAATTCTTCGCTTTGCCGCAAATTGGGACCTTGAAGGTAAGGGCGTCATCTGCAGAGATCAGGTGCCTCGCCATGAGCAGGTCGACAAAGCTCTCCTTAAAAGGGCACACGACGCCATGCGTTCCCCGATGAGAATTATCCGTGGGGCGCTGTGTATCGAGCGAGGCCGGGCCGAGCTTCGAAGTGCTGCCGCAGGTGCCTCATCTCCTCCTCTTTCAGGTGGCCCCCAGCATCCTTCGAAGCCGCCACGAGCAATTTTCACTGTGGGCCCTACTGGCTCTTGCCCCTACTAAACCCTACTCCAATTCCTTGCCGGGCTTCCTTCGCAGCCTGCAGAACTCGAAGAATTTCAGCGTGGCACTGCTGAGACCTCTGTGGCCACAGGGGGGCCAATTTTGCAAGCGTTCGCAAGCGTGTTGTTGAGCTTGTGCCCTGCCGCGCTCTGCTGTTCGAAGTGGCTATGGAGGGGTAAGCAGGTACAGCAGGTACATGGGCGTGGGTGTAACAGGTGTACGCTTTCTGCAGCCTGTAGCTGGTGCATAAAACAACGCTAGTCAAGGCGAAGAAACTCTGGCAGGAAGTTGAAGCGTGCCAGCAAAATGCACTGGCCCATCATGTAGCGGCCAAACGCAGCAAAAAGCATCGCCGAGGGATCCTTTGTTTGCCAGGTTGTGGGATGCTACGCGGCTACTTACACCACTGCGTAGCTGGAACTCGAACGGGCCAGGATGTCGTATGAAATGTCTACTGCTTCGACATTACTGGTGCTGCTGCGAGATTCAGGTTCCAGCTGCACGGAATCAAGAAAGATGGGCGCAAGGCGCGATTGGAACACTTCTTCGAAGGCGGCCCACACCAGGTCTCTTCCATCCATCGTCTCGGTTGCATGGATTTTCTGGGCGAACTCCGCAATGGTCCTTGGTGGTGAGACCACGTTGCAGTCTAGCATAGAAGTGCCGACCATAAGAATTTATGGAAAAAGATGCTCGCTGCTGGGGAGGGAGCTGCAAACCAGATGCGCCAGGTCCCGCCATGTCCTGGTTGATGATCGTGCGGATGGGCGCAGCGAGCTGCCACCAGCGGCTCATCTCCGGTGCTTTCTCGGCCATGCACGCGTAGTTCTGCGAGGTCCAGCGGAAGTCCTCCACAAAGAAGGGCATGTACTTGTCTTTGAAACTTTGCAAAGCAGGGGGTACTTCAGCAAGCGGAGTGCCCAAGTGCTTGGACATGAGCTCCCTGTATTTGACGTCCTCACCCATGAGGCAGTATGCAATATTTGCTTCCAGAAGAGTGCGAAAAACTGATAGCAGCTGCTGCGGCTCAGAAGGCTCAAAGGGATCAAGCCCACAGTCGCGGAAGACAGGCCAGATCTTCCTCTTCTCCCAGTCATATTCCAGGCCTTCGCGCCTCAGTGCCTCCACGAAGAGCATGTCAGCGAAGACCAGCGTGATCGCTTCGCTCAGCATGCGATAGATGATGTACAGCCGCCTGGAGAGGCTCCCGTTGGTACCAGTGAAGATCAGATCTGGCAGGAGAAAATGCGTAAGGTCGTGTGCCTGAAATGTCACCTCGTGGATTGCATCATCCTGTGAATGGGATTGAGAGGTGAAGGCTTGTTCAGTTTGCTCACTCAAGACTCGAAAAAAGATTGCATGAAGAAAAGCGCCAACAACGCGCCAACAATGCGAGAAAAAAAATGCGCGCCTTGGGCACGAGAGGAATGCCTGCGTTCAATCCTGGAAGCCAATAAATGAACTCCCTTCGTGTGATAGCCGCCCGCAGGAAAAGCCCGCTGTTGAGCACGCTCCTAAAGACGCTGCAAAGGCCATGCGCTTCTGCAAAAGAGCAGAACAGATGCGTGTTCTTCGTGAAGAAGTTGGCAACCAGAGATCCATCGCCAAATTCCACAGCTCTAGACGCTTCTACCGGATTGTAGCGACAAACTCGTCGGGTGCGGTAGTGCACATGATCTCGCAAGTATTGGGACAGCATCATGTCTCTAGGAGACACTTTGAAGCCCATCAGCTTCTTCTCGTGATAAGACAGTCCGCTATAAGGGTCAACCACAATATCATCCCAGTTGAAGACGTTTGGCTGCTGAGCTTCCCGCTTTCGCTTGGACAGATCGATCTTTGCATCCATCTCGTAGCTGTAAACAATTTCCTCCACCTGCACAGGAGCGTCAGTGTTACCGTGCCGGTCTGCTGCCTAAAGCCGCCTTGATGGGCGGCAGCAAGCACAGACGGGGTTGAGTATTGAGGGTTGCGCGCAGCGAGAACAACTGAGAGGGACACCCCCCGACACCCTTAAAGCATCTCTTAAGAGTCTTAAAACATCTGAAAACACCTTAAACAGCCTGAGCCCCTCATCTCGCCAGCCTGGGGACTGCTCTGTCCACTCGGCTCCCCATCCTTCTTGGCAGCCTTTTGGCACCAAACCGTGAGCGAAGCGCTCACGGTCACGCGCTCACCTGGCAGTTGCAGTTGAGTTGTGCTGTCCAGCTTTGGTTCATGGCAAGGTCCCAAGGTGCGAACCGACTATCATAAAAGCAAGTGACACCGCATCTGCATTCTGGCGAATTTTGGGTGAGCACTTGAACTAGGTTTCATGAGAGCCACCATCCACAAAGTCTCTGCCGGGAGCGTCGGCATGTTCATCTGATCCATAACACAGGAGAAGCACCTTCTCGTACATCACAGACTTGGTCCAAAACTCATCCGTGCTGTGACTCAGCAGCTTGGCAACCAAGGGAAGAAGCGCTTTGGGTCCAAGCTTCTTCGTTCGATATCCGTATGGGCTGGCCTGCTTCACTTCGATGCCATAGTGTTGCATCAGCTTCTGAAACTCGGGCACACGCTCCGGATTGGACGTCACGACATAAACGCGCCGCACTTTCACCATGAGGCGATTAGTGAGAATTCGTGACAATCTGTAACCATTTGTGATGTTCACGGTAACGACGTAGCAGCTGAGTGGGCTATGTGCAGCGGGGGGCTCGGTGGAGCTCAGGAAACTCGAACTCAACAACTGCTCTGAAGCAGCTCCATGCCCAGTTTGTTTAAAGGGTGCCGATTGCAAGCTTGAGAAAGGTCGCGCAGACTTGGGCCTCTTGTTACTCTTGTTGCTATCTGCCAGGCTTGGGGGCATTTGGAACGCGGAGCGTTGTGTTAAGCACCCTCTCAGACGGTTACGAAGACCCTCCAAACATCAAGAGGATCGAGTGGGGAGTGGTCCAGGACATTTCGAGTCGCTTTCGTCCGACTCATGGCCTTAAAGACCCTAGGGCTCTGGTGCACGTTTCTTGTCCCCATTTAGGCTGAAAGCCCCTGTCCTACAACCTCCAAGCCCCTTTCCCCCAGCAATTAAAGGAGAGTACGCCCGCCGGCTAACTTCCAGGCCCTGCAGCGTTCAAGCAGGTCTTGGAAGGGCTTGGAACGGTTCTTTCTATTTTCAACTGGGCGCCTCAAGGGCAGTGAGATGATCTCTGTCCTAAGCCTACTGCCTCACACATCGCCATGCAGCTAAGCTCAGGGCGCGTGTGTGAGGGATACCGTGCATACCACCATACCACACGGCGTGAGATCTGATCATGCTCCACAGACAGGCAAAAGTGAGCTGGCCAGGCCATGGGACCCACAGTGAGCGCTCTCTGGGGCAGTCAAAGTTTGCCAGGCTGAGGTGCGAGTGTACATTATCCAGGTGAAACCATCGCCCCTCAAATGCGCAGCTTGCCTCGGAAACTGCGAACAGTCATCAGATGCACTCAAGGTCTTCTTGTTTGCATATGTGGAGCCGGGGCTTGAGAGGCACCAGAACAACACCCCCTCTGCAACCACAACGGCCTTTTTGGGGCCGTAGAGGGTCTCAGGGCCTTCTTGGAGTGGGTCTTCGGCCTATACGCCCCGCTCTCCAACACAAACACTCGCCGATGTGGTGGCCGTAGCCCTGCGAACCCTGCGGCTCCGTGCGAGTCTGGGGCGAAGGCGCGCTGGAGGGGCTTGTGGAGCACAGACCCTGAGAAGGGTTTTTTTAATCGGTTCGAAGGTCGGGGTTCGTGGTCCTTAAGGTGCTTGAAGGATGAGGAGGCGCAGTTCACAGAGTTGGGAGCAAGGCATGTTGATGTGATTGGCCGGATTGTGGATGCGATCCTGCCAGGCAGTGCCAGGTGGAGATGGCCAAAGTCTACACGCATTGGGCTTGCGGTCCCAGAAGAAACTGTTACTTTTCATTTTGTCCTCGACGAGGTCAGCAGCGATCCTTGGGTCTTAAACCGTTCCAAACCCTTTTACACTGTCCCTCAACCGTCCCACAGATCGCCAGGTCGTGAGAACCGAGAAGCAGGTTGGCCGCCCTTGTGGTGGCCCCGAAGATGGCGTCGCCCTCCACGCGAGGCACGTGGCCTGGGTTAAGAGGGCGCTGAGGGTGAAGAGGGCGGCTTTAGACTGTAGGGGTTGAGAGGAAAAATCAAGAAAAGAATTGAATGTGGGATCTAGGCGGGGACGCCCACGGCACCGCGTCGTGCAATGGTTACTGCCAAACTACTGGCCCGCGGAGATACATCATCAAATTCTGGTCTGCATTCCTTTAAAACGCGTCCAGAGGTCATGCAGCACACCAGAAAATTGAGACCGTGCAACCGGTGCCACGAAGCTCCTGTTTTCTTGCCGGTCAAGTGAACCGAGCCGAGTACCAGTATAGCCGGGGATCTGTTTGCCTCAATTCGGCCAGCATTCGCTTCTCCAACAATGAACGTCAGCGCGAGATGCAAGCCGTGCACTACTCACGAGAAGTCTTGCGGCCATTGCAAGCATCGCGGCCCTTTTTTGGCCAAGGCTCTGCAGTGCTCACGCAAGCGGGCAGCATGTAGAGCCTTGTATTCAGGCCTCACACGGCAGCGCTCTCCATGCGCTTGCGAAAACATGTTGCGAAAACATGCTGCCATGCAAGCATGCTGGCAGGACACTCGGGGTCACCTTCAGCTAAGCCTGCTGCCTGCCCTCGTGATTCTCTGCGTAGACGTGATCCAGAATTCGTGCGCGCGGAAGGTCATCGTCTTGCGTCACAGCCTGGGTTGACGTTCATGCTAGAATGTTTGGATTTGACAGCTCCCGCAAATTGTAGATTGTGGCTCTCAGTTCCGCTGTCTTTCAGATGGCACTGTCGGCTCCGCTTGAAGCCGACTCGTATCTCGATAATTAAAAAAAATCAGGGCTAAATGAAGGCAAAGGCCATGATTCCTTAGACGCTGCACTAGATGCTGCCCCGTCACCGGCAGGTGCTCCGGTGGCGGCGCGCGCTCGGCAATGGCCCGGCCAGCCTTTCAGCTCATGGGGGGCGCACGCAGCTCATCGCCCAGCGTACCCCAGCGTACTCAGACATAGTGAACTGCAGCTTTGTGTGACCCAAGGCCCTGGCCATCTTGCACGTGTGGATGATACCGCCGCCATGAATGTTCTCCGCATGCTTGCTGGGCCTTAGCTGCATGGAAAGCCAGGGTCGCAAGGCTGCCAAGGCTATCCACACAGGCGAGGCTACCGGAGCTGGCAGGACCCGCAGCCACGAGCGCCGCGCATGAAGCCGCTGTAGCCGGGTATCGTCGGCACCTGAAGGGATCCCGGGGCACCGCACTCTGGCAGATACTGGAAAAGATCTGATGTTTGATTTGAGAGAGCATCATGCAGCTCAGAGATGCACCCAATACGATCGCACCACGTCGGCTTTGCTTTTTCCAAGGGGATGCGGGTCTGGTGCCTCGGATGTACAACGCAACGTTTCATCACTACCTACTCTCTTCTTGCACCCCAACGTCTTCGCGTCTTCGTTCAAAACTTTAGAACCCGGGCCCCCCTACCGGCTCGGAGAAGCGCTCCTCGGGAAAGGGCTTCACCCGTTTCTGCCTCAAAAACATGCAGGTTGCCATGCAATTGCCATGCACTTGCCAGAGTTGCCACTGAACCATCGCCGATTCGGACCACTCGGATCCCAGTTTACGGGGCAATTCGGGCTCAAAGACCATCATCCAGCATAGCGCAGCACAGCTGTGAGCTTCTGAAGCCCGCGACGAGGCTGCCAGTGCTTCCTGCAGGGCGGCCTTCTTCTCTTCCAACTGCCACCTGGGACCAAGCAATGGCCAACTGCTATGGCTCATTGTGGCTCACTAGGGCTCACTATGGCTCACTATGGCCACCCCCAGAATCTCGATCTGCAAACACCAAGCCCAACAAGCACAAGAGCAACAAGGAGCAAATAATTCGAGACCCCCACTGCTCATTCCGTGCACCAGCACCCACTGCAGCTTGTGTTCGGCCGTAGATGTCCTTGCACAAGATGCCAGGCTTTCATTCAATCCAACAGCTCCAGGAAGCGGCAAGCTGCACAGCGTCCACTGAGTGCAGCTTCCCAGGGACCGACTGCTTTCTCTACTGACAAGCAGACATGCCGAAGAGCCCTGCAAGCGCACAGCGCCTCACATCACAAGGATGCAAAGGGCTTGGGCACCATGCGTTCCGGCGATTCGGGGCGGGGAGGGTTGTGGAAACTCAGAGCAACTCAATGCCAACAGGTCCTCTGCTTTAGCCGAGGGGATGAAACCAGTGTAGCCAGGCACGCGAGCGTTCATGCCTGCACTCGACCCGTGACTACGACTGCTGACAAGGTCAAGTGTCAGAAGGAGAGTGGAAAATGCACTCGAAAAATGCACTCGAAATGCGCAGTTTATCTTTTGCAGTGCACAAAGTTCGCCTCGGCTTCCAGCCGAGAGGCGTCTAGCACAAGCACACCCGGATCTGGTCTCCTTACCCACCCCCCCCCCCCTTTCGGCCCTGTGGGACCTGCCCAAACCGCCTGGACTACCACTGCAATCGCTTCTGGCGACCCCTTGAAACACTCCTTCTTGGACCCCTCCTAGGACCGCTTCGCCTGCTACACCCCACGTTGGGCCAGGCTGTCGAGGCGGCGCTTACAATTTCCATGGATGACTCAGGTGTCAACACTGCAACATGGTTCCCTTCATGTCTCAGAGCGCCATGCACTGTTCGCCCACAGCTTGTCGAGCCCGCTCCAGCTTGTCCTCAAAAGATGCATTCATTTACACATACGCACATACGTACATACGACATAGACATGCACACACACACAGACACACGGACAGGCAGACGGACGGACACACACACACACACACACACACACACACACACACATGCGCGCACACACACACACACACACACACACACCACAAGCCAGTAGCCTACAGCTAGTTCATGTAGCGCCAGCCACCGTCTGTTAGCTTCTGCATGCGATGATTTCATTCGGGGATCCTGCCTGTGGCGGTTCGTCAGGCACTGGCTTTTTGGGGCGCCATCTCAGATCCTGCGCAGCATGTACGAGGGCGTTCTTTCAGCTACTGAACTCCGGAGGCACGTGACTCACGTGAATCACATTGTGGACAACGGAGAGCACTCTCCTGGCTGGGCCGATCTCGGGGCGCATTCAGTGGAGTGATGCCCGTCGGCCGCCATGGCCTAAGCTGATCGGTAAACGATTTGCTTTTGGTCTCCATCGCCCTTGCGCGAGTCAATTTTCTCATGGCCTATCACCAAAGACTCTGACGATTCCGTCTGCCATATTGACTGGTAGGAAAAACCATACGTCGTGAGACGCGGGCGCTAGCTCGAGATGGTCATCCGGCATGGGAAAGCACCTCAGGACTTGGAGGGAAGGTGCACAGTGACATCCAGTCTGCCTTTTGGGGCTGCCACAACGAGTTCAGTTCCGGGGAATGTTGTTTTGGTCTGGTGCTCGTACGCGCCGGAAATTTTGAATGCTGGCGGGCGAAGACCCCCTTCAGCCTTGCAAAACGAAAACTGCGAGCGAGGTCAGCATTGAGCCGCAATGCACCAGGGAGTGCAGATTCTAGGCCGATCTCAAGGGACTGAGTCTACACGCCCACACACTTCTTGGCATCTTGAATATTGACTGGGTCATGTGGGGGAAGTGGCAGAAACTAGTGTCTCCTGGTGAGTTTGTGCTTCTGTGCAGTCTGAGAGGGGCACGAATGCTTGGACCGAGAGAAGGATGGAGCTTGGGCCAAACGCATCCAATCGTGCTGACTTGTTCTGTGGTTCGGCATTGCTAGCCCTGCTATTGCTGCCGGCTTCCTAGTCGTTTCCCATCATGGCTTAGCAACGAGGGTTGGTGCAAATGTTGGCACAGTCCAGTGGTGACTGCTTCATCCAGCTGAAGGCCAGACAACGATCTTCTTCGCCGAATGCCGAGCAGTCGGCGTCCCCTGTTTTAAGAGGTCATGAGCCTGGTGTTTGGCTCAGAGCATGCTGCCGCCGCCATGAACACCTCAACCTTAGACAGCAGAAGGTATGCCGAAGGCCGACAGGACGATGCAGAAACCGATGGCAGCATGGGCTTCAAGTTTTGCTCCGCTACGCAGGTATAAGTGTCGCGGTGAAACTTCGATCAGGAGAGCGAACCCGGATGCACGGATTTGTTGGGCGTACCTTTCGGGGCCACTGCAGTGGAAAACTGGTATTGATTGCATCATGGGTTCGTTGAGGGGCAAGTTGTGGTCCTGAACAAGGAGTCTACGGCAGCAATACCTTGCAGATGCTGTAATTCATGCAAATGCTTTGTTATTGGGAATTTCAAACATCACAGATTGCAGAACCGACGTGTAGAAATGCTCGCACGATGCTATTTAGCATAGCCTCCGCTGCGAAAAAAATGGACACAGCTACACCTCTGGAATGCTGCTTTGAGCAAGACAGTGATGAGAATCGCGTATGCTTTGCAAGGCAGATCATGTCATTGCGTCCGTCTGCGCTACTTAATTGGGCCAAGGGCAGCCACACGCTAAACTCGTTCGTGCAGCCATCGAGTTCGTCTTCAACGACCGTGGCTCCTTCGAATGGAGCATCTCCCTCGATGGCCTTTGTCGGCCTCAGCACACACCAACGGTCGTGTCTACTGTTCAGCAATCCACTGAGCTACTGGCTGCATTAATCAATTCTTTCGCAGCTCAAATGATGTCACTTCAACGGCTTATACGGCTTGTGAGGCAGGGCACGAAGCCGAGCTGACTCATGGAGCTGAAGTCATGGGCAGCCGAGGCCTCGGAAATGGCAGCACCACTCCTTTTTGTCCCCAGACCAACCAATCTTGAACTTGGACAGGCCAGCGCGGCAGTTGTACTTCGGAGCTCCATTCATGTGCTCCTGTGCCCAGTGCCAATTCCCCCCATCACTCTTCCACTCCCACATCATGCCGTGTCCGGCTGCACCGGGAGGCAAGCCCCCACCAGCCGCTCCGCCAGCCCCTCCGCCAATCACTCCGCCACCCGCAGCTCCGCCAGCGCCACCAGCTCCGCCAGCAGCTCCGCCACCCATGGCGCCTCCTCCGTGGTAGACGTGGATTACCGTGTGGGTGGTGTGCGAGTGCCAGTGACCGCCTCCGCCGCCACCTCCTCCGCCGCCGCATCCCGTGTGCTCGTGGGCACAGCACCAGGACTTCTTCGGCATCGACCACCCGGCCTGCCAGTTAGCCAGGCCGACGTGGCAGTCGTACGGCTTGCTGTAATGGCCACCACCTCCACCACCTGCACCGGAGCTTACAGCAATCCATGTCCAGTAACCGTTGACCTGCACGTGCTTCCAAACCATGCCGTAGCCGGGATCGACAGCTGGAGGCTGTGGGCCCTCGCAGCCCTTGCCCTTCGACGAGCAGCACCATTGCTTCTTGGGTGGTGACCTCGGCTTTCCCATTGCAAGCACTTGAGAAAACAAAAGCGGCAAAAAGCATGCACAGGCCAACGTGTGTCTGTGATTGTCTGTCTGCACTGGGGCGGCGGCCATGCTCGGAAGAAGTTATTGAGGGCAGCATTGCAGTCATAGGGCTCGGAAGTCGCAACGTGCACTTCGCAGCCGGCCGCTTCGATAGAACAGCCCCGGCAGATGTCACACTCCACCTGAACCTGGCTGTAAGAGAGAGCGCAAGCGTTGTCTCGCCCACTGAAATGGTTCTCCATGGCCCAGTGGATGCGGTCGATGCAAAGTGACGTCTTTCCATGGTAAGTGCATGCCGCTTGGCAGCCCAAAGGTGAAATCGTGGTTTGCGGGCAGCCCCTCTGGAAGTGTTTGCAGCACCAGTCACTCTTCTTGGCAGACCACATGCTAGGATGTTTGTGGAAGCACTTGTAGGCCACACACCCTTTGTGGTGATGGTCGCAGCACCTGAGCAGCTTACTGGTGCAAAACAGATCGCAAGGCGCGTCAAACAAGATTTTCAGGACCTTCTCGGAAGCACACGACACACATCAACACACCGAAATCACGCTTTTTGGCAGCTGAGGCACCATGTCTTCTTCGAGTCGGACCATCCCTGCAACCAGTTCGAGTATCCGGCCTCGCAGTCGTAGATCCTTCCCCTTGCATGGCCGCCGATGCTGCCGTGCTCAACGTGGACGTGGCCTTCGAGATGCATGCTTCCATGCCACGACCCGGGGCATCCCCGGCTCTCATGTGCACAGCACCAGCCCTGCTTTGTCTTGGACCAACCAAAGTACCAGTTGGAGTAGCCGTGTTCGCAGTTGAAGTGCCGTTCGCTGTGATGGGTGGTCTTCACGATTTGGTGGTGTCTGATCACGACTTTAGGAGGGGATGGAACAGGAACGTCAATGTACTTGGTCTTGGTGATCACATTCTCGTGCTCCACCTCATGGTCGGTTGCACAGCCACGCTGTTCCTTCCAGCAGCAGTACTCCCTCTGCTCCTTTGTCCACATCGTCTTGAAGGCATGAAAACCCTCCACACAATCATATGCCTGAGGGTGGTCATAAATTGTGTGGGTCTTGTAGATGACTTCCGGCGCCTTGTGCACAATCTTCGGGACATACTTCTTCACCGGAACAGGGACCTTGACCACCTTCTTGTCGTACACCACCTTAGGGATCTTCACCTCTTCAGGCACGGGCACGTACTTGTAGTGGATGTGTGGCGGCGGCCTCTCTGCCGCCACAGGAAACGGATCCTGCACAATACGGGGCGGAAGCTTTGGGGCGGGCACCTTGACGTGAACAATCTTGGGCCGCGGGGTGGGCCCGGCCACGTGGACGTAGTGGTATTTCGGCACCTTGACTCCAACTGTCTTGGTGATCGGCACGTACTTGTCTTTGGTCACCACCTTGGTTGGGCATGCCACGCCCGAACGCCAACAACACCAGCTCTGATGATCCTGGGTCCAGGCACGATAGTTCATCGAGTTCGTGTAGCACTCAAAGTGCTTGTGTGGCGCATACACTTTGTGATACACCAGGTGAGCCGGTCCAGGCACCGGAACTCCCACCACCTTGTTCCGATTCTGGGTGATGTAGTGGTGCTTGATGATGATCTGCTTCGGCGAGGGGGCTTCGGTGGTAAACACTTGAATCTCATCTGCAGCCGCCGCCACAGGACGATGGAAGCCAAAGATGATGAGAATCCCGATCACGAGCCTCACGCGCACGGCGACGCCATAAGGGCACAGGCATGGCTCTTGCAGTACCAGTCTTACAGTACAGCAAACACTGTGCAGCCAAGGGCGCAGGAAAACCATACCGCATGCCACCGCGCATGCGGGGCGCCAATTGGTGCCGCTTGCCACCACCACCCTTTCCTTGTCGATGCTCCCCTTGCCGTGCCCAACGAACACGACATCCTGAGAGGAAAAGAACACAACAACACAACGAAGGAGAATGCAGGAGACGAGCGAGTGGAGAGGAGCTCAAGGGAGCTTAAGGTCAAAGCTGGGAAGAAGCAAAGAAAAAAGCGGACTCAACACTCAGCGAGCAGCAGAGACAGTCTCGTATGCACCTTTGCCTTTGCCCACATATGACCACTGTTCTGAACTCCGCGCTTCTCCATCGAAGGGCTCGTCACAGCACAAGGCCATGGCAGGTTCAGGGAGGCGCAATGGGCGAACAAAACACGATCACCTCGATCTCTTGAGGGGACGCACTCAGACAGAAAAGGTGCATGGACTCCAGCACGGACCGCCGGGAGCGGATATTTCACAATCACAGCTTCACCTGTCAAACTGCAAGAGTTGCTGATTCGCAGTGACCTTCAACAAGCCTGCTGCCTTGACAAACGCTGAGCTAAGCTTGAGTGCATCTGCAAGAAACTGCTCTCAAAAACAAATTCCTGAGCCATTGACAGCCGGACGGTACACACTGAGAGTACGGGATGTACTGTTTGTTCGATTGCCTGCGTTAAAATTGTTCTAAGTGACAGAATGGGACGTTTTAAGCTTTTGCCTTCGTGGCGCTCTATTCATCTCTATTCTTTGTCAACCCGTTGTGGAGTCGCTTGGAGCAAGTGCAGGCTGCGCATCCATCAGAAAAGGCTGTCGGTCCCCGTCACTTCCACGTGGGGGGTTGCACGCTTCATTGCTTCATGAGCACGGGCCAGCACGGGTAACTTTTGCAGAGGAGCTCAGCTCGATATCTGCGCAACCTGGCTGCTCAGCAAAGGGACCGCAGCCGAGCATAGCGGAATCTTGTGGAGATACGGATTTTATTTTTAGCGGCTGCCTGCCTTGAACATCTTAGCTTGCGCAGCAGAAATGTCGCTGGCCGCTTGCGCAGGTTGATTCGGGCAGATTCGACGCGCATCGAGTTTGATCGTCTCTGCCAGAAGCTCAGGCCACCGCACCCACTGCACCCACTGGCACTCCGCTGGCCAACTCCCTGACAGTCTGGCAGTGCTAGAATCTGAAGGCCGAACACAAGGCAAGAGCCTCATTTCGGCAGCGAGCCTGACATCCAACAGGGCTTGTCAGAGGCTGCACGTCAGCGAGAAGCATTCAGAAGAAGCGCCTGTCCGGCAATGCCAAGGAGCATCGGGCCTCTCAGAGAGGAAGAGAGGATGCACAGAATTTGGCTAAACATAACGATCTTGCGAGTCTTTGGCCAACTCAAGCCTGGAAGTCTGCAGATAGGAATGCCGAGGCAATGTTTTGCAAACCTCCGCATCTCATACTTGCAACATAGCTCTTAGCACAATGAGGCGCTGTGCGCACAATGAAAAAGAGCACCATGTGCTACTGTTGCCATCTTGAAGATTGTGCTGGACCTTACTGAGCCAGTATACGATCGCTTCCCAGCCTTGCTTGGCCATGGATTTCAGCTCCACTTCTCTTGCTGCCTTCGGCAAAGGGGTGCAAACGCCAATGGCACACATCAGCCACGCCATATGAGCCGTGACGGTCTCAGGCTCTCGCGCTTATCATCGACTGTACCTGAAGAAAAGTGCTTCCATGCACATACCCAGTCCCGAGCTCTCGCGAGGAGCTGGTGTGTGGGGCACCTGCTACCGAAACCCCGAGACACGAGTAATTTTCTAAAACGTTTGAACCTTGGCGAGTTTGAAACGACCAAACACCATGGAGACTTTGGAGTTTGAAGGTTTCGAACTTTGAAAGAATTTGGAGCTCGAAAGTCGGAAGCGAGATCGAGAGGTTGAAATCCCTGAACCCAAAGCCAACACGACGGGACTGAGAGATTGAGAGCTTCAAGCGTCCAGAAGGTTCGGAGTCTGAACCAAGTTTATCAAAGCTCGAAGTCTGAAACTCTGAAGCTTGACGACAGTCGAGCACGAAAAGTTTGACACTTTGATAGTCAGCACGATTTGCAGTTTGAACGTTCGAACGGCACGAGTTTGAAAGTTTGAGAGTTTGGCAGCACACTCAGACCACATCGACTATCGCGAATGTCACACTGTAGGCGCCCTAACCACGAAACACGTTGGGCCCGAGAGTCGCGAGGGGAAACCCCTTAAAGAGGGCCTAATTAGTGGGATTACTGTGCCTCCAGCTTTAGGCTTTCGGGTAGAGCATAAAGCCCTGAAGGCTATCGCCTAAACCCTCAACCCGAAACCCGAAACCCAACCCTTTAGGCCTTTAGGCCTTTAGGGGCCTGCTTCTCCTCAGGCCGCCAGGACGAAATGCCACCGCGCCATACCGCGCCGACTCCCCGGCCCTGAGGAGTGTGGGCTCATCCCAGTAGCCGCGACCGCCCCGAGAGGCAGAAACGCACCGAGCTGCTGCCTTTTAAAGGCGTGAGAAATCCTCAAGAGCCCCCTCAAACTCACAGGGAGTGGATTTCCGAACTCGTCTTGACTCGCAACCTCCAGCAAACACTCGCACGACGGGCGAAAGAATTGCGAGTCCGTTATTGCACGCGCACGTGATGTTTCAAACTATCAACCTCTCAAACTTTCGAACTCCCAACATTCAAACTCGGGAAGTCTCAAACTCGCAGCTGTCAAACTTTCAAACTCGTCTTGTTTCAAACTCTCGAGCTCGCGAACTCGAACGGCCGTAAATCTATCGTTCTCTCAAGCTTGAACCCGCAAAAGGACTCGAGGGGCGTCGAACTTCAAACTCTCAAACTCCAGATCTTTCAAAGGTGCAAACTCGCAGCGTCGTGGCCTCCCTAACCTACGCATGACCTCAAACTCCAAGCTCGAAACATCTCGAAACTATCAAACTGTCGAAACTTTGAAACTATGAAACTCGGTCGCGGCTCCAACTTTCGAGTTCGAGAGGCTCGAACTCCAACCTTTCAAAGCTGACCTGTTTTCAAAGTCGGAATCGCAAAAGTTGGCAGATTGAGTTTGCGAGGAGGCAATCGAGCTCGAACGTCGCTCGAGAAGACGCCTTTCCCGAACCCCCCCCCCCCCCCTCCCCCCTCTCACCCACCACATCGGCCTCGGGCAAATGCAACTGACCTGCTGCCCAAGTCCGTGCCACCGTCAAGTCTGTGGATTACCATGCGTGAGGCGAGCGCCTCTCCTTGTACACCATGCGTGAGCGAGCGCCTCTCCTTGTACACCCCCTCCCCATCTCCCCACCAGATTGACCCCTGATCGACCTTTTCTTGACCCCTCCCCCCTTCTCCTTTCTCTACACTCTACACTACACCTCCCCCAACCTACGAACCCCCCCCCCTCCCCTCTTCCTTCGTTATGAAGTCTGCAGATAGGACGTCTTGTCAGAAACAGCTTCTGCAAAGCATAGCTTTAAAATTCAAGCTGGTCCCAGGCCTCAGCAAAGCCTTTGGATAAGATCTTGTGTAGCTCATCCAGACGCTGGTCATCGATGTGCCGCAAATCCTGCACAAATCTGGCATCGTGCTTACGGCTTGCGATGCCTTTGCTACCAAGACTCTCAGTCGCACTAGGATGCAACGCCTGCATCCATCGCCGCTCCAGCTTGCCGCTCTTCGGCAGCTGTTTCGCCAGCTCCTCGCATGCTGACACAGGCCTTGAGGAAAAGGCCACTGATGACAACTGCAGGCTGAGAAAACAGAAAACAGACATCAACATCCTAAAGCCCTCTGGCCTGCAGGTGCTTCTTGGACGCATGCAACACGGCAAGGCGTGCCTTCACAAAAGGCCAGGCAAGGTCACGGAGCTCAGTGTTGGGGTTCGGGAAGAAGTTTTGGATGGGTTCTGGTCGCATTCCCGAGTATAGGGGCCTCAAAGGCTTGCTTCAATAGCACGATTCGGTGGCAGCTAAGGATTCAGGGTTCACGCTTTTGATGACTTTCAGGCGCCACACGAGTGAGGTCTCGAGCGGTCTGCACATGGCTGCAGATTTCTCCCAACCCCTGATCCTTGCAGACATCTCTGTCAAGTCACTCAAGTCACTCAAATCAAGACGAACTCCCTGTCTGCATCTCAGTCAGGGCCAAGGCCTGTCGAAGCTGCAGCAAAGCCTTGCCCAACTCCTGCGAGCAACGAAGAGTCAACGGATCTGAAGACGGTCTTGGTCTTAGTGCGCGCAGAAGTTAGAGCCCTCAGCTTGAAGAGAACCCATCACGGCAAGCACACTGCACGCATGGGCGGACACTCCAGCTGCTTCGAAATCCCACTGGCCTGCAGGAGATGGCACAAGCCACGCCGCAACCAGCACAGCGCCGCATCCTTTGCAGAGTCATGTCCTGTTTGACACCGACTTCAAAAAACAAAAAAACTGCCCTCCGAGTGGATCCCGCGTCGCTTAGCAAACCCCGAACACGATCACTTGGCCGATCGGGAAACGCAACATGAATTCAGTCACTTAGCAAACCTTTACGGGTCACTTAGCCAACTCTCAGTTTCAGGTTCCGGGCTTCTTGAAGGTTAAAGTTTCGGCCTTTTCTTTTCGGGTTTAGGGTTTCCTTTTAGGGTTCAGGGATCCTTTTGGGGTTTAGGGTTTCTCTTACCTTTTAGGTTTCCTTTTAGGGTTTAGGGTTTCTTTTACCTTTTGGGGTTTAGGGTTTCCTTTTAGGGCTCAGGGTTTCCTTTTAGGGTTCAGGGTTTCCTTTTAGGGTTTATGGTTTCTCTTACCTTTTCGGGTTTAGGGTTTCCCTTTAGGGTTTCGGGATCCTTTTAGGGTTTAGGGTTTCTCTTGCCGTTTAGGTTTCCTTTTAGGGTTCAGGGTTTCTTTTACCTTTTAGGGTTTAGGGTTTCCTTTTAGGGCTCAGGGTTTCCTTTTCGGGTTTAGGGTTTCCTTTACCTTTTAGGGTTTAGGGTTTCCCTCGCCTTGTAGGGTTGCGGGTTTCCTTTTAGGGTTTAGGGTTTCCTTTTGGGGTTTAGGGTTTCTCTTACCTTTTAGGGTTTAGGGTTTCCTTTTAGGGTTCAGGGTTTCCCTCGCCTTTTAGGGTTTAGGGTTTCCTTTTAGGGTTTAGGGTTTCCTCTTCGGGTTTAGGGTTTCCTTTTAGGGTTTAGGGTTTCCTTTTAAGGTTTAGGGTTTCCCTTTAGGTTTAGGGTTCTCTTGCCTTTTAGGGTTTAGGGTTTCCTTTTAGGGTTTAGGGTTTCCGTCGCATTTTAGTGTCTCGGGTTTCCTTTTAGGGTTTAGGGTTTCTTTTACGTTTTAGGGTTTCCGTTTAGGGTTTCGGGTTTCCTTTTAGGGTTTAGGGTTTCCCTCGCCTTTTAGGGTTGCGTGTTTCCTTTTAGGGTTTAGGGTTTCTCTTGCCTTTTTAGGGTTAAGGGTTTCCTTTTAGGGTTTAGGGTCTCCTTTTAGGGTTTTGCGGGTTTCCTTTTAGGGTTGAGGGTTTCTTTTACCTTTTAGGGTTAAGGGTGCGGAGAGTGAATTACATGTACAAAGGGTACAAAGAGTTCTGGAATAGTCGCAACGTCAATGGACTGTTGTATGGTGGCTCAAGGATATGGCTGCCGAAAAGTTCGCAGCAAAAACGTGGAGGCCCTCAGGCTTGGGTTTGGGTTTGGAGGTTGGTGGTTGGGTTCCCCTTGGGGTGGTTAGGCTTAGGCCGGTTACCCTCTGTTTGGACCCCCCTAACCTGACCCGTGGTTTTCAGGGGATTCAGGGATTTGACTTGCGATCCTTAGGGGTCAGGGTTATCCTTATCCTTCCCCTTTGTGGTTGCCCCGTAAAGGGTTTCCTTTTAGGGTTTCGGGTTTCCTTTTAGGGTTTTGGGTCTCTTTTAGGGTTTCTCTTACCTTTGACGGTTGCCGGTTTTCCTTCAAGGTTTAGGCTTTCTCTCACCTTTGAGGGTTTAGGGTTTCCTTTCAGGGTTCATAGTGTTTCCTTTTAGGGTTTAGGGCTTTGTTTTTGTGGGTTTAGGGTTTAGGGTTTCGGGTTTCTTTTTTTTTAACAACCCTTCACTCCTTTTCGGGCGAGCTTACAGCTAGGGTAGGTTACGAAACCGGAAAGCAATGCCCCTCAGTACTCCCTGTGCATGATCATGTCACGCGCCCACGTCTAGACGCGCCAACGAGCCCATCTCTGTCACCTCCACCACCACCTTCCTCCACCAAACCCGGGTTTCCTTTTGAAGTTTAGGGTTTCCCTTACCTTTTGGGGTTTAGGCTTTCCTTTCAGGCCTCCAGGTTTCCTTTTAGGGTTTAGGCTGTCCCTCACCTTTTAGGGTTTAGGGTTTCCGGGTTTCCTTTAAGGGTCTTAGGGTTCAGGGTTTCCCTTTAGGGTTTCTGCTACCTTTTACGGTTGAGGGTTTTCTTTTGAGATTTAGGTTTTCCCTCACACCTTTCCTTTCAGGGTTACGGTTTCCTTTCGGGGTTCACCCCCCTTCATCCCAAAACATAGGGCCCCCCAATCCCTTGGCCAAAGGTCCATGGAAAGTTTGTTAACAGCAGGAGAGTTTCCATGCAAAACAAATCGGAGATGTTCTTCGCTTACGACAATAACAAATGACACAAAGTCAACCGCGGTCAGGTCTGTGTGTCTCTGTTGAAGTACAGACATACTGATATATGCTAACGTCTATGTTGACATAGACTACTGGAGCAGCGAAGTGGCGTGTGCAACTGCATGTAACGACAACACTGTAGCGCAGGATTGCAAACAAGAGACAAGAAAGGTTGCCAACAGCTCCAAGAAGAGGCGTGCCAAGCGATCATGAACCGAGCGTGCTAAGCGACTGAAAGAAAAGTTGGCTAAGCGACCCCTTTACCCTCCGAGTTGGAGAGCTTTTATCAAGAATCGATTCTCCAGAGCTGGTTCCGAGGCAGATCCAAGAGCCTACACAAACCGCCGCGATTTGGCACCGAGGGCGGCGCACCACCCGCTGCGGCGACCTTCTGGTAAGGCTGCAAGGCCTGGGCTTTCACTCCGCATACTTTGCCCCCCCCCCCCCCACCAAGCTCTCATAGAAGCTTCGCTATTGCTGGTGTGCATGCGCTTGCAGGCGCTGACCTGAGCTTGTGACCATGAGGAAAAAGCCTCTGCTGGGGGAAAGCACGTAGTGCTTGCGTTTTCTTTGCTTTTTTAGAAGGCACAAGCGAGCAAGCGAGAAGAGAAAGTGTTTACCGAGTGGCAAAACCTGTCCAGGTGTCTGCACAAGTCTAGGAAAGACTTCCGGGCCTCAGTCAGAATCGACAATGATGGAACACTCATGACACCTTTGCTTGGTCGACCCGACAGACCGAGCCTCTACGTGGGCCTCCTGCGCAAAGGCCACCAGCAAGCCACTATCTGCAACACCGATGTCTTTCTGGCACCCGTTGACAAGAGAATGCCAGTAGCCTTGTCCAGCTGAAGGCGCCTCCAGCCAACTGCGGCTCGTCTCCTCCGCATTCCGCGGATTCTGCAACTCTACTAGGGACTTTGACTCTTCGGGCTCGCAAAGACAAACCCGAATCATTCCGAAGCTCAGATAGTGTCCTCCAGCAATTCGGGGAAACCGGGAGATGTGCTGCCTTGCCAATTTGCCAATAGCCCAGTCTTGTACTTAACTCTTGCAAGCAGAAGGGCACTCCGCTCGGGCCACCGCCCTCAAGCTCCCCTGGACTATCGCCAAGACGACGAAAGTGCACCTGCTTACAGTCGCTGCGTAAGGAGAAATCTTTCCAAGGAAAACCACTCTCCTGAATCCTTGCCTCGCGCAAAAGGGCTGCAACCAGCCGTCCTCCTGCCGTCGACCTCGCCGGTACCAGCGACTCAATGAGGCCAGAGGCAAGTGTTGCAAGGCCTTTGCCCGAGGCAATGCAGAAATTGCCCTCAGGACTTGGCAGATCGAAGTCAGGAAGTGCGGCATCGGCCTGGCAGCGTAGTCCCATCATGGGAAGGTCTTCTCGTATTGCATTCCGTTGCTTCCCATGCCCACGCTTTAGCCATTGCTTGGCGGAGCTTCATCGCTGTGTCGTCGGGCTTCCGTTTTCAAAGCTGTGCTGTGGAATAGTTCGGATTGACTGCCCCGTGGGTTTTAAAAAAAAATCCCCCTGAAGGAAGTGAAGGCGGCCAGCACCCCCGCTACGAACAGCTCCGATTCTTGAAAAAGGATGGGCAATCATCCTACGAACTCCAAGATTTGCTGGCCGCCTTCAGCCAGAGTCTTCAGGCCCCATGGATTCTGCTGCACCCATCCACGTTGCTCGCGGAGGGCTATCTCTTGAAATATGCACATAAGACTTTGCAGCACCAAGCTGATGCTGCTGATGCAGTCAGAACTTCCCTCATATCTTGGAACACCCCGCAAGAAGACGTCTGGAGACGGCTCACGCGCTTTGCCTGCTCCTACTTCTCAGGGAGGCCTAGGGAAAGCATAACTTTTGACTTGCAACTTAAAACCCAAAACTCTACTCAAACGGGTGTCCCCCAGACATGCTGCTGATGATGTGATGATGCAGCACTGGAGATGCCCACTGGAGCTGCCAGAGGTGACATACCGATCAAGAAGGGGCAAAATTCACGAGCAAACTGAGCTCGTGGCCTCGTCCAGGGCGGATTGGGGAGCGAACAGAGAGAATCGCAGAACAGGCCTCAACATTGGCACCAAGTACAGCATGTTCCCTAATTCGGATCCCGCTCTGTGTCTGTGTCTGTGTCTGTATCTGTCCCTGTCCCTGTCCCTGTCTCTGTCTCTGTCTCTGTCTCTGTCTCTGTGTGTCTGTGTCTGTGTCTGTGTGTGTTCCTGTTGTAATATGTGCCTTCATATTTGGGGTACCCCAAAAGGCACCGTAATGTACAGAACTTTGTCACAGGGCGCATCTGGAAGCTAAACACACTCGTGATATCTGGTGATGTCACAGAACGATACGCACAGCACGGACGCCGAGGAGCAGTCTTTGTCGCTTCGACCAACTCTTTGCCAAGGCTGAGAAGGTGCCCAATCTGGCCAGGGACCAACGCAGGCTGTTGGGTTTGCGCAGCCGATTGTCCACCCCACTTTCTCTGCTGGAAAGGTACCAGGGCTCCAGCTCAGCTCTCTCTCACGACTGCGATAGCACAGCACACAACTTGTTTTTTTCCAAATGGCCGTGTTGCTTTCCCCAACTTGTCAGGCTCATCGAAATTGCTTTTCCTAGCAAGAGAGAGAGCCTAAAGAACGAATTTGACCAGACATCAGGGCAAACTCTTATCATTACCTTCCCTGATGGAATGCAGCTACTTGCGAATCCGTGAGCCAAGCGGTTTCTTTGCGACAGGCTTTGCAACTGGCGAGTTTGCCCTGATGTCTGGTCAAACTCGTTCTTTAGGCTCTCTTGCTAGGGAAAACAATTTCGATGAGCCTGACAAGTTGGGGAAAGCATGTGTGCTAAAGAGATAAGGAGAGAAAGAGAGAAGGAGAGAAGGAGAGAAAGAGAGAAGGAGAGAAAGAGAAAAGGAGAGAAGGAGGAGAGAAAGAGAGCAAGAGAGCAAGAGAAAGAGAGAAAGAGAGGAGGAGAGAAGGAGAGAAAGAGAGAGAGAGAGAGGGAAAAAGCTTTGCGCTCGCGCAAGCCTGTCACGTGCACGCATGTGCCCATGCGCGTGCCCGTTCGCTTGCCAGCGCGCGTGCCCGTGCGGGCGCGCCGGCGTGCGGGCGTGTGGGCGTGCCGGCCGGCAGGGTGTAAGAGTAGCAACTAGAAGAACCGTCTGAACAAAAAAGCGGGACACCCCGTTCCCTCGCCTTGGCCTCGCCGGTCCTCTCCAAGGACACCTTAAGAGCGGAAGGTCGCAGTGGAAAGGAACACACATCTGAATCGGTCATTACGTGTGGCAAATTAAGTGGGGGTGTGTGCGCGCATGCGTCTTCGACGTGCTACGCCAGCACGTGCTGTCTCATACGGAACCCGCTCGCCTTCTTGGAGGTCTTTGGGTGAACCCGGACACAGATAAACATGGAATCTGCATGCAGCACGTTGTAGTACAACTGCTCGACCTGCCCTTGCTGGCTTCGAGGATAGGAATCGGCCGGGCATTTTTGCGAGCTTGTTTGGGTGTTAAAACGATGGACCACAATGGCCATACTGCGCACGCCACGGGACCGGACGCTGCGCACAAACGTCTCCCGATCAGCCTCTGCTATGTCGGTTGCCTCTTCGCCTTGGAATGCCCACCCCACTTGCCAGCTGCCACCTTCTGAGGGTCCTCTGCTCTCCTCTGCGCAAAAAAAAACCGAGGTGAAGTTTCCCTGCAGCTCCCGGTGAGCAACGTGCAAGTCCAACAAGTACTGCGGCCAGAGAGCTTGGCCGATGACCCGAGAGACTCATCTCGTAGTTTCCCTTTTGGTTTCCCTTTTGGTTTCCCTTGACTTCTCGGAGTGTCGTGCTGTACCATTCTGGTGTAGCCAGGTTCTCGAAGGTGGCCTCGGCGAACACTGGTCTCACTCCACGGACGCAACTTCCTCAACAGGCTCTGCAAGACAGAGTGCCCAAGCTCAGCTTCGCTGTCGAAGAGCATCTTCACAACTCACGACGGAACAGCTGAAGCGGCTGGAGAGCTTCGTCCTGTTCTCTCGACCAACTGTCGTACTTGTAGAGACTCCATTGCATGGCTAGCAACCTTGCAACTGAATCTCTGCCGGTCGAGAGAACAAGTAACTGTTGGGGCACGTGTCCAACAGCCTCAGCAAATTTGTCGAGCACTCGTCAGGCGGCGCTGGTGCGGGAACACGGAGTCTTCTAGACGGCTCCGCATCCTCTCCTTCACCCGCCCCGGCGGCGCAAGCGGCTCTCATAGGCGAGGCGAGGAGCCGGGCGTTCTATCCATAGGAACGGAGGCTGTGCTCTCAAGCTTGATGGGATGGGTTTGCGCCTCATGGCTGTGAGAAGCTTATCGGAATGTGATCTCCGAGCCAGCTTCTGGACATGTCGAGCCTCCTAAGAACTTCAGCAAGGATCTGGATCGTCTGGTGTAACTTGATGTGTCTTGGCGCACGGCCGTCTGCTGGAAAAGGCGCTCCAGGTGCCTACAAACCTGCTCAGGTCAGTCTGAAGACCATGTGCACGTATACTCAGCCAACTTCGCACCCAGGGCACGGATGGCACAAACAGCACTGCTGTTTTTTTCTCAATTCTGTCCGGAGTTTTTGGCATCTCAGCTAACATCGGCAGCCAAAGTCCTAAACGGTCCTAAACGTGCGCAGAAGTCGGGCATAGGATGGGGCTGGGGAGTACAGGGCTGGTCAGCATGTGTTCGTGGCAAGGCTGCCATTCCTAATGGTCGCCAACCTGGCTGTGGAAGCTGCAGGGCTCAGGCCACCAATCTCTTCTGTAGATGGAACTCCACAACCCAGCAGGCTCCCACAACCCAACGGCTGCGGTGTGGCCCAATGTCTTAGCAACTTAAGTTCAAGTCTTGGCACCTAAGGTAGTGCTGATGTCTGGACTCTGCTCGCAGGCTGATGCACGTCGTAAGTTCTTGTGGGAGCAAAGTGTGGCAACACCACAAGAGTGTGCATTGGATGGCCGACCCGCGAATTCCACGGGCGAAGGCAAAGATTAGATTTGGCACATAACGCTCCATGCTCAAGATGCCCGAGGGGGAATCTCTGATCTTGCTGCCATATCGAAAGTTCCGACGGGACTGGTTACTCAACCCCACCACTGCTCAGCCCGGACGGAAAACGACTGTTCCCAGCCCGTGGTCTGCAGTACCTACGACACTTCTGGCTTGATAGGCGTTGATAGGCGTTGCGAAGCAACTCCGGAAAACTTGGGGCCCCCTCTGATCCCTTCTTTGCAGACCCCGGAAGCTGTGGGAACCATGCAATGCCTCACTGCGCGGCGACCTGTGGCGGCGACTGCCACTGTTCGAATTACTCGATTCTGCGCGGTCGGAGAAAGGAGCCCATGCACCTGGGCGAAAAAAACAGTCCTCAAGATCCCTTCTAGTCCCTCTAGTCTACTCAAGAAGCAGCTTCTGAAGCATCGCCTCGAGTCTTCCGCCTCTGCCTGTTTCCTTCCCACCGGGAGTGGTGCCGGACCTCGCTGCCGGTTACGACAGCGTCCGCACCTGAGGCTACTTTTCGCTTGATTTCTCTTCTGTTGGCAGGGCCAGGACTTAAGCTCAATGCAAGAAGTTGCAAGAACACAAACGGGTCCAGGCTGCAGGGCTCAGTCGGCAAGTCTCGAGTAGCTTGGCCATTTGGAAGGCCGCTGAGGACGCATTCTAGAACTTGCAAAGCACACCAAGCAACCGGCAACTTGCGCAAAGTTGTATAAGTTTCGCGTAAAGTGGTCCTTTGCAGCAAGGCCGCGTCACCGAACAGCAAACGGCAAAAAAGGCAACACCATGCTCGTGCGTCCTTGTTCTTGGTGTTCATGCTGTTCTCTACTCCAGCCATGAGGTCCTGACTCCACAAAACAGACTCAAGCTCAAGACATGTATTTACTAGAGTCAAGACAAGCCTGGAGAGGTACGGAGGTGAAAGTGAAGGCAAGAAATGACAAAACATGACGGGGCGGCATCGAAGTAGCTTCGCAGCTTCGGACGCCGCTCTTCAATCTGCTGATTGATGAGCTGCTCCTGCGGGTGACGTCCCACTACGCACAGCAGCAGAAAGGCAAGCGGCAGCCAGCGGCAGCAGCTGTCCTTCAGCTGTAAGAAGTGCTGCTCGTGAAGGAGAATAAGACCCAGCCTTGGCAGACGTCCGTTCGATTTGCTGAGGGGCAATAGTGGAACCGAAACCGGACTCGAACAAAAAGAAGTCCTACACCATACAAAGCCAAATTTGAAGATGGTCTTTTGCGAAAGGGGTATCGTTGCACGCTCACATCAGGAGCTTCCCATGCTGATGGCCAGGATACTTATTCCGCTCGCGTAAGAAGCAATAGAGAGCTCCCAAGATGGGAATTTTCAAAAGGTGTGAAGCCTCAGCCCGGCACAGGGGACGGCTTATCGACCACATAGAGCTAAACTCACCTAACAGGTGGTTCACTCTCAGACCACATGTCAGTGTGCTTTTAGCGGCACCCTCTCGGCGTGTGCCTGTCATGACCAGTTGGAACATGAGATGCAGGATCTTCTGCAGGCAATGAGGTGCCTTGCGCAGCAATGTCTCTTCTTCAGGTCTCGGGGTACTCCGAAGCCTTTGCGAAGGTCTCGCCTCTTGCAGGTAGCGCCGCACGCGATCCTGCTTGCTGCATGCCAACATGTCAAGGGCCTTGTCTCGTTTGTGATGCCAGAGCCACTTCAACCAGATCTGGGATGTCAAGCATATGGCAGTTCAGAACCCTGACCCTAACCCCTGATGTCCTGCTCCTGGGTCGATTTACCGGTGAGCTGAGAATGGAAGTAGGAGATGACGTTGTCCTGGCGGCATGCACTTGCCTGTTCCGCAGCCTTCGACTGAAGAGATTTGACAGTCAAGAGTGGGATGGTGTGTTCACAGACTACAGCGCAAATTCGCGTTACCCTGCAAGAAAGAACCCCTAGACTTCAAAGGCATCAAATATACGGGAATGACAAAGCAGGCTCCTGGGCGGGGACTTGGAATAGACACATGTCACCCATGCTGACAGATGGAAGTCAGGCAATATACCGTATGTTGGCCAATACGTCACAGATGACAGCAACCTCTTGAAATCAACAGGGTTGCCGTTCTGGCCAGGACGACTTAGGCAGCATCACTCGTTGGAGGTCAGACAATCATGATCAATTCCATTGGTCACTGCATGTCACCACCATGTATGTGACAGCAAGCCCCGTGAAATCAAGAGGTTGTCATTGCCATGACGATATAATGAGCGCGACGTTGGCCAAACATCCACTCTTCAGGGGTGGCTGTTGGGCCAACATCCACATGTCAGCTCTGGATTAGCCAAAATCCACGTTTGAGGGGTGGATGTTGGGCCAACAGCCACACTTGAGGGGTGGATGCTGGGCCAACATGCACCATCCACACTTGAGGTGCGGATGTTGGGCGCTTGAGGGGTGGATGTTGGGCCAACATCCATGCTTGACGTGCAGATGTTGGGCCAACATCCACGCTTGAGGGGCGGATGTTGGGCACCGGATGTTGGGCTAGCGTCCACGCTTGAGGTGGGGATGTTGGGCCAACATCGGAGGCTTTGCTGTTGGTGGAGCTCCGAGGAGCCAGCGCTGTAGAACGTAGAAGGGAACCCATCTTTGGAAGCAAATTTTCAAAAACTTGCCGGGAGCTCAACGACCGCGCAGCTTTGCATCTGCACGCCGGTCTCAAAAGAGAGTAGGCCTGCCAAAACTCTGCAGAGAGCTGACAAAATCACGACATCAGTGCTCGTGCAGGGCTCGGGCGCTCAGTGGCAGATGATGTCACCGGCTCATTGCATGGGCGAATGTTTGACTTTCACTGTTGCGGATATTGTCGAATCTCGTCTTCAAGACGAGCACGCAGAAGTCATGAGCAGACGAAGACATGCCCAAGCCCTGTCCAACGATTACGAGCCTCACTACTGATTTCTTGAAGCAAGGGCTGAAAAGAATGCCATGTTTCCCCCGCATCGGAAGCGCACCACCAAGGATGCCCTTGGCGCCTTCCTCCACGCTCTGCATCAACGACGTAAGCATAGCCGGCTCGAGCTCCATCACCTTCACAAGAGCCAAAAACGGGCGAAGCAAAGACGGACGTCAGAAACATGCCTAAAACTGCAAGGACTGCGATGTCAAGACTTAATCTCATTGGGCTTGTCGGGCTTGGGGATCAGAATCCGCTGCGATGTCTCCGAATTGTCACAGTAGCTGTTGCAACTCCAAGTGCTCACAAGTCTTGCGCTCGACTAAGTAGCTCCTATCAGGACAACACCTGCGACTCCGCAGTTCCGGCACAGCGAGTTCTTCGCTAGCCCAGCCACGAACTTTACAGCTTTTATGGCCAGGGAGCTCGACCTAATGGCATGGCTTCGGGCTCTCCAGCACTGCATTTGTTGCTTGATTTGCATGCCCGGTTAGACGGAGATGGCGAGATGCAAAGTGTGCCTTCGACATGTGGCCTCGCGTTGCCAGCCTTGTTGAGAACACGAGCTGTACAGCAGCACAGCAGAGATAGCTTCCACCAGACTGTGACACCGCGGGGGTATAGATGCCCCACCATGCTTGCCAGGTGACTCGACAAAGTAGTAGTATGGCTTCAGGGCTTTCAGGTAGGCATTCAGCTCCTGACCGAGCACTTGTCACATCAAGCAGATACAGCATCATGAACGAACTATAGCGACATGCTGAAACAACTCACACTCGACGCCCTAACCATCACTTCATTGGCCTTCCAAACCGAGTACACGGCCCGGAAGACCTCAAGAGGAGCCCTGTCCCAACCGATCCTGCAGCGGTATGGCCAAGCCTGGGCAGTCTAGGTGCTTTGGCGGAGCGAGCTGCAGCTGCAGTCATGTAGCGGCGGAGGGTTTTTTTTTTTGCAAAGGTGTGGCTCGGCCCTGTCCTCTTGCAAAGGTGTGGCTCGGTAACCCCCTTCCCTCCACCCCCCCCCCCCCCCCCCCCCCCCCCCACCCCCCCCACCCCCCCCCCCCCCCACCCCCCCCCCCCCCACCCCCCCCCACCCCCCCCCCCCCCCCCCCCCCCCCCCCCCCCCCACCCCCCTCCCCACTCCCCCCCACCCCCCACTCTCACCACCCCGACTCCCTCCCCCTTATTTGCAAACTCAATGCTTGCCTCTAGGTTTCAAAAAAACTCATATGCTTTGAAACAAGCTTGCACGGCTTTCAGAAGCGGGGGGTTGGGGGGGGCGCAGCCCCCCCCCATTTGAAAACTCAATGCTTGCATCATGGGTTTCAAAAAGAGACTCTTCTGCTTTGATGCAAGCTTGCACGGCTTAAAAAAGCGGGGGGGTTGGGGGGGGCGCAGCCCCCCCCATTTGCAAACTCAATGCTTGCTCATGGGTTTCAACACCGGGGGGGCCATTTGCAAACTTAATGCTTGCATCATGGGTTTCAACAAGACTCATATGCTTTGACGCAAGCTTGCACGGCTTAAAAAAGCGGGGG